TCCCTCTGTTCAGCGTCCCTGACTTTCCGCCACATAGGACAAATTCCTAGAAATGGAATTACTGGTTAAGGGCTATACCTTTTGTAACTGATGGATATTGTCACACTGCTCTCTGTATGTGTTGTAACAATTTACATGTCCACAAACAGGTAATGAGAGAGTGTTTCTCTACATCCTTGCCAACAGTGTGTTTTCAGACAGTTCTATTTTTGCTAAATTAATAGGTGAAAAACTGAATCTGTGTGAAGATCAAAATTACATTTCTCTTATTGAAAGTGAGATTGGACATTTTTTCATAGTTAAGAATGCGGAGCCATTTGGGTTTGTGTGTGTGTGTCTGTGTGTGTGTGAACTGCCTGTGTTATGTTCTTTACCAATTTTTCAATTAGATTATTGATCTTTGTTATTGGTTTGTAGGGACTATATATATATTAAGGAGATTAAATTTTAAAACATTTATAATGAGTTAGCTAGGTGCCGTGGCTCATGCCTGTAATCCCAGCACTTTGGGAGGCTGAGGTGGGTGGATCACTTGAGGTCTGGAGTCAAAATCAGCCTGGCCAACATGGTGAAACCCCATCTCTACTAAAAATACAAAACTTAGCTGAGTGTGATGGTACGTGCCTGTAATCCCAGCTACTTGGGAGGCTGAGGCAGGAGAATCACTTTAACCTTGGAGGCAGAGGTTACAGTGAGCCAAAATTGTGCCACTGTACTCCTGCCTAGGTAACAGAGTGAGACTCTGTCTTAAAAAAAAAAACAACCCCACCAAAAACCAAAAACCAAAAACCAAAATTTGTAATGAGTTGGAAATAGTTCTCCCAGTATATCATTTACTTTGACTTTTTTTTGTTTGTTTGTTTGAGATGGAGTCTCACTCTGTCACCCAGGCTGGTGTGCAGTGGCGCAATCTCCACTCACTGCAACCTCTGCCTCCTGTGCTCAAGCAATTCTCTTGCCTCAGCCTCCGAAGTAGCTGGGATTACAGGCGCCCACCACCATGCCCGGCTAATTTTTGTATTTTTAGTAGAGATGGGGTTTCACCATATTAGCTGGGCTGGTCTCGAACTCCTGACCTCAGGTGATCTGCCCACCTCGGCCTCCCAAAGTGCAGGGATTACAAGTGTGAGCCACTGCTCCTGGCCTATTTGCCTTGACTATAAGACATTTTTATGTGTTTACATTTATCATCCTTTTAAAAAAACCGATTTTGGAGTTCTCCTATATTTTCTTCTAGTACTTTTATGGTGTTATTTTCTACATTTAAGTCTGATCCATCTAATTTATTCTGATATAAAGCATGAGATATAGGTGGTTATCAACAAAATATTTAATGAGTTACCTTTTTCTCACTCATTTGAAATGCCATCTTTATCCTATACTAGATTCCAGTGTGTATTTGGGTGTATTTCTGGACTTCCTATTCTGCTATAGCATCTGATTGTTAATGTGGGAAGCCACTGTGTATTAATCTGTTCTTGCACTTCTATAAAGAAATACCTGAGACTGGGTAATTTATAAAGAAAAGAGTTTTAATTGTCTAATGATTCTGCATGCTGTACAGGAAGCATGGCAGCTTCTGCTTCTGGGGAGGCCTCAGGAAGCTTCCAATCATGGTGGAAGGCAAAGGGGGAGTAGACACTCACATGGTGGGAGCAGGAGCAAGACAAAGAGCAAGGTGGGAGGTATCACCCACTTTTAAACCACCAGATCTCTCAGGCACTCACTCACTATCATAAGAACAAAAGGAAGAGAATGGTGCTAAACCATTAATGAAGGCCCACCCCCATGATCCAGTCACCTTCCAGCAGGCCCCACCTCCAGCACTGGGGATTACAGTTCAACATGAGATTTGGCTGGGGACACAGTTTCAAACCATATCACGCCGTGTTCAGTTATTATAGTTTTACAGCATGTTTTACTATCTAACTCCTTTACAGAATTTTCCTGGCTATTCCATTCTTGCTGCTTCTCCCATCCCCATGAATTTTGGAATCAGCTCATATAGATCCTCAGCGGAAATTGGTTGGTATCTTACTGCATTTCACTAAGCTTGCAGATTAATTTAGATGGCTTGAAATCTTCATGAGACTGAAACTTCCTAGTCAGAGGCACAGCGTGCCCTCCTTCTGTTGACACAAGCTTGTTTTGGTTGCTTTTGGTCATCACAGGAGCTGGCTGGCAACCAAAAGAACTTGCAGGGGCACCTCTGGGTCCTGAGAAGTGTCTGTTGAGTGCTGAGTCATAGGGTTGGGGCACATCCAGAGGTCCGAGGTGAGTTCCTATCCTCTTGCTGGAGTGTGAAGGGCTCATGTTGTGGAGTGTGATGGACCTGGATTTGAGCCCTGCTTGCTTCCTGGGGCAGGTCACTCAGTGCCTTCTGGCCTTGGTTTCCTTGCTTTGATAACGGGAGCCCTCCTTGCCTCACTGGCTGGAGGCTGTGATGAGATCACATGTGCATTACCTGGCACTCAGGGTTGCCGTCTCACAGTGCCTGCTGGTACATCCACAGTGCTGTGGATGATGCAGGAGGGGCCCGCGTGCCTGGAGGTCATGTGTAGATGGTGCCCAGTGGCAGTGATGTGCCTATGAAGAGGGGCTGCAGGATTCAGAAGAAGGAGAAAACCCAGGCTGGTTGGGATGACCTGGAATGGCCTCAGGAGAAGTGAGAAAGCCTGTGGCCCCTTGGAGTAAGTAGAACGAGAGGTGTTAGAGGTGTTCTGTCATCAGAATCTGGACCACACCTGCTAGGAAGTAGAAATGGATGAAGAAATTCGGGTTCACGATGAGAGGCTTGCTCAGAAGCACACCAGCAAGGGAATTACAGGGCTGAGCACTGAACCTCAGTCTCTGCACTTAGAGTCGGTGGCTCTGAGTGTCACACTCAAAACTGAATTGAGTCTAAAGGGTTTAGTCCTGTTTTGTTTTCTTTGTGGGGAAGGGCGAGGAAGGAAGGCCTCCCCACTGTGGCCTGCTGGGGGCTGGTGTCCTCCCTCGGCCTCCTTGTTTGTATAAGTGGGATGTATGAGCACTCACACGAAACCTGTTTCTGAGCAGCTGGTGAGCAGTCCGTTGAGTAAACAAACCCTCTGGCTTCAGGATTATATTTCAGACTAAAGTAATTTTGAACCTCTCCTCTCTCTTGTTAGAAATGAGTTTTGGTTTGGATGGAACGGTGCTTTATCTCTTCTAGAAATTATCTGGCCTTGCCTGTTCCTATGAAGACAGTATGGACATTTATTTATTAATAAAACGACCACTTTACGTCTCAACCAGGTTGACGCCTCCTGGTTAATAATAGCCTATCTCAGAAAAGAAAGATTCCCGCTGTGGACGATGGGCCAGCAGTGTCTTTTCACTTCTTTATTTCCCAAAGTTCCTTTTTCGATGGGGGGTGCTAGCTGGGCTGCCCTCGTAGACTGCTATCTCACTGGCCCTCAATACCACCCAGTACATAGCTGAGGGGACAGGCTCTGGACGTGGGGGCACCAGGCTGCAAACCCAAGTCTGATTGCAAACCTGGGCTCTTTCTAGAACCAGGCGCTTTGTCCTTGAGCTGCGTGTGTCTCTGGGTAAGATGAGGGTCCTGTTCCCACGGCTGGCCCACTGCCCGCAAAGGGACCCAGGGGACTTCAGCTTCATCACAGCCAGGTAGTCTCTGCCTTCGCCTCAGGCTCATGGCAGTTCTGGGAGGCGCAGTCGCCGGATGTTTGCCCTCATTGAAAGCCTGCTCATAGGTAGCCCTAAGCAAAAAAATCGCTCTGCTTCTGTGGTATAGTTCATTGTTTCTATAAGGGGCAGAGTCCTGGGGTTTAAACAGACTTGAGGATATAGGAAAATTATACTTACATGTGGAAGGCTAACTATTAAAATATGGAAAAAGCCCCAAGAAGGTATTGTGATTACAGTGGTGGTTTCCCTTCGTGCAGTGCCTTCCCTGAGACCTCGAGGCAGTTAAGGTTTGCTAGGTTATGTGTGACAGAAAACCCGGCCCCAGCTGGCTTTGGTGAAAAAGAGAGTTTGTAGTTTTTAAGGAGAGCTGGCTTAGTAGTCAATTTAGGACTTGGTCTCTCTCTTTCCAATCTGCCTTCCACCATATTGCCTTTATTTTCTGTTTCTAGATGGTGGCATGATGGCTTATGTCATCTGGGCCTCAAGGCTAGTGGGAGGGGCACCCACCTCCCCTGTTCCAGCCTTCACAGCAGAGGGTCATTGGCTCGGGTTGGTGGTGCCTTCCCTTCCCCACTGCCCGGCTCCCCTGCCATTGCCATGGCCTGGGGATGGCAATACCTGGATTGGCTCAGGCTCCAGGCTCACGTCCACTCCTGGAACTGGCGGTGTGGCCAGGCCCATGTGGGAGGGGGCTTCACCCAGGGCACAGAGGATATAGATGCCAAAAGGAGGGAGGAAGTGGTTGTGGGCTGGCTGCAAACCAGCACACCTCCTGTGGGAGTCACAGTTTAGAAAGGGTTTATTAGAAGTGTGTCCAGATCAGTGTGGAATATGAAAATGTGAACTGTGCAAAGTGACATGTTCCGGAAAGTGTGATGAGGGAGGGCAAAGAGTTTTTTAGTGCTGAAGTCAAGTGGCCGCAAAGTCTGGTGTCACGTGGAGTGGGGCTTTTGTATGGGAGTGAGTGGGAGTGACAGAGCAGGGCATGCCAGGGATGGCTTAAGGCGACCTGTTGGGGAGGTCTGAGCTGGAGCACCCCCTGGCCCTCTAAAGGGTCATATGTGCTCACTATGCCCTGTGATTTTCCTGAGTTGCTTCCATAGTCTGTACTCTCAAGCCCCACGCAGCCTATTTCCGCGGCACATTTCAGACCATGGGTAGTTGTGTGGCACTTTCACTCACCCATGTGGGAAGGAGGCCCCACTGCAAGTCTTCTGGTCATTGGACTGCCTGCTTCAAACCCTGGCTCTGCCACTAATTAGCTACATGGCTATGGGTAAGTCGGCTTCCCTGAGCCTCAGTCTCCTCAGTTGTAAGACAGGGATACCAGCAGCACGTGCCTTGCAGGGTGCTTTAGATGTTTTGCATTTGATCACAAATTTAAATTGCTTAGCTGGCACCCAGGAAAAATTCAACTTTTAGGGACTATTATTATTATTTTGAATCAGGCTCTCACTCTGTCACCCACGCTGGAGTGTGGTGGCGAGATCTCGGCTTGCTGCAACCTCCGTCTACTGGGTTCAAGTGATTTCCTGCCTCAGCCTCCCAAGTAGCAGGGACTACAGGCGTGAGCCACTGTGTCCAGCCTTATGGACTATTATTTAAAAAGACATGTTAAAGAATCTACACTTAGAGAAGAAGAGCCAGACTTGATTAGGTTTTTTAGGCTTCGAATGCACTTTATTTTCCCATTTTCTCACGTTCTCTTTCTCTGAGGCAGAACTGCACTGTTCTGTGAGCCCACTGTTCAGACAGGCTTGTGGATCTCCAGGTATGTGGAAAATGCTGATTGGCTCTGTTCCTAAATTTCCCGGCTTCTCACTGGTGCACAGTTAGTAAAGGAAGAGTTCTTTTATTTTGAGAAATGTGCTGGGCATGGTGGCTCATGCCTGTAATCCCAGCACTTTGGGAGGCTGAGGCAGCAGATCACCTGAGGTCAGGAGTTTAAGACCAGTTTGGCCTACATGGTGAAATCCCATCTCTACTAAAAATCCCAAAATTACCTGGGCATGGTGTCAGGTGCCTGTAATCCCAGCTGCTCCAGAGGCTGAGGCAGGGAGAATTGCTTGAACCTCGGAGGTGGAGGTTGCAGTTAGCCAAGATTGTGCCACTGCACTCCAGCCTGTGCTACAGAGTGAGACTCTGTCTCAAAAAAAAAAAGGTGTGAAGATTTCCCGCACCCTCACTCCCACTGCCCTGTCCCTGTACCCCCAACTCCATTTATACGCTGTGAGGTTTCCTGCCCACCATCCACAGAGACCCTTGTCAACACAGCCGGTGCACCTCAGCTGGGAACGTGTCTCAATGTCTTTAAACTTCTCAGAAGTCTCAGTTTTATCCCTATTAACACACCCAGCAGTGGAAACAGCAGAAATTGCTCTTCTTTTGTAAAGAGAGTTGTGTTTCAGAGAGTTGTTTGTTTGAAATGTAATTTCTTCAGCTCATTATGTCAAAACTGGCATTTGAAGCATACATGAGGACTCTTGCTAACAGCCTTTTGTATTTGGATTCTTCAGGGAAACAGAATCAATAGGGTGTGTGTGTGTATGCGTGTGTGTGTGGAGAGATAGCTAGAGAGAGAGAGGAGGGAGAGAGAGACGGGGGAGAGAGCGAGAGAGAGAGAGAGAGAGGCTTATTGTAAGGAATCAACTGATGTGATTATGGAGGCTGACAGGTCCCAGGATCTGCCATCTGTAAGCTGGAGACCCAGGAGGGCTGGTGGTATAAGGTCCAGCCTAAATGCAGACAAGCTGCAGGGTCACAAAGAGCCGATGTTTCAGTTTGTGTCCCAAGGCAGGAAAAAACTGATGTCCGAGTTGGAAGGCAGTTAGACAGGAGGAGTTCTCCTACTCCCTGAGGGAAGGCTCTGCTTTTTTATTCTATTCAAGCCTTCAACTGCGTGGATGGGGCCCACGCACATTAGGGAGGGCCATCTGCTGTACTCAGAGCCTGTTGATTCCACTGTTAATCTCATCTAGGGCCATCCTCGCAGACAGTGTGACCAAACGTCTGGGCACCCTGTGGCCCACTCAAGTTGTCATAGGAGCATTAGGCATCACACCTTTGGTATATAATCTCGGGATTTTTTATTTTCTGGGGTTGCTTGGCTGCAGAGGCTGGCATTAAAGCATCATGGGCCACAGTGTTCTAGATGCTAGTGTAGTTTTCTTCCGTCTCCCATGGGTTGGTGTTCAAGGGCCTTATTTTAGCTCAGCAGGCTAATTTTCTTATTGTAAGACTCTATACATGAACAATAAGATTATAGAGAAGGAACAGTGATTTTGTAGGTTCCCGGGATTCACTCCCACAAGGCAGGGCCAGGGCTGAAGTCAGAGCCTCCAGAGCCTTCTCCCAGGGTCAGCCATCAGTCCTGCCCCAGGGCCAATGACTACATGAGGCACCAAGTTCCAAGTATGCAATGAGGTTTGCGAATCCGATTTTGCATTTTCTGGGCTTTGCGATGCCTGAAAAAGAGTCACAAACATGACTATGACTCCTCAGCCTGAAGCCATCTGGGTGTGTCCTTTTGAAGGTCCACAGGGGACTTTCTCATGTCCTTGAGTTTGCAGGACATTTCCTTTTCTACCGTTCCAGATGCTTGTTCAGCTGCATGTCAGAAATGGACAGTCCAGCCTTGCCCCTTTGCAGAAGCCAAGCTTTCCTGCCAGATAGCCACAACTTGTCCGGACAGGGATTTAGGGCTGTCTTCCCGAGAAAGGCGTGTAGATCAGGAGTTTGACCCTAGACTCAGAGGTTTGAGGATGGGTGGTTTTTCTTGTGGTTTTGTCTTGGATTGCTTGTGGCATTTGGATCCACTTCTGGGCTTAAATTTCCCCCTTCCAGTGTTGAGATGGAATTGGTCCGGGATCATAAGTCATCCAGGGCAGAATGCAGAGATTTATTTTACTCCTTTGGAGGGAGGTGGAGAGAAGAATCTCTTGGGGGAAAGAATGTGAATCCAACTGTTTATAAAGTTAGCATTTAAGTCCCACACAAAGCTTGCTTCCTAAATACTGTTGTCCCAAGGCTACTGGCAAGGTGACTGGCTATATGCCCCTTTGGTTTATCCTCTTACCACTAGGCTTGGCATTTGCACCATGCTTTACCCTGTGTTCAGAATCCAGGTAGATTCACACCCATGCCTGTGCGCACGCACGCGTGTGTGTGTGTGTGTGTGTATGCACCTGTGATGAAAGCAGAGAGGAAAAATGCTGTGTGATGAGGCTTGGGTGTCATCAGACTTTACAGCTGATTTTTCCCCCTCTTCCAAAATCCTATTCCTTTTCTTTATGCAAAGAAACATGAGAAGTGGGTGCTATGGGTTGTGTAGGTTGCTTTATGCCAAAGACATGATGTGACACTTTGGTAAACCATGTTTTTGGTAAATCATATCAGTTAAGACAAGACCAAGTTGCTGTTGCTAAGAAATGTTTAGAAAACCTGAAAGTGAAGTTCTGTTTTCATTCATTTTGCCAACTTACTGGAGAGTTTCTCTGTGCTGAAGACAAAGAGATCTCGCGTGTATCTTTGATGTGGTCTCCACTCAGGAATAGCTTACAGTCAGCAAGAAGAATGTGTAGGGAACCTGATTCTTCAGTGCCCCGTTTATGACTTTCTGGGTTGGCTGGTTTCTCATAGACAGTATTAAATATTCTGAAAAAGGAGGGACATCAGTGAATACAAAGCAATTAGGAAAAAGTTCAAGAGAGTGGAGGAACAAACACAAAGAACGTTAGTCATCACACTAATAGTGTTATTCCCAGTGGTATCCTAGACCTTCTAGCCATGTTCTGATACATATCGCAGCCTTTGTGCAGAGAGTCTTAGGCTAGAGGCTGAAGTGGCTTGTGTCAGTGCTTTCCCTGCAGCCCACGGTGACTCTCTACCATCCTAAAGGTAAAAACATAGTGTTAGGTCTGGCCTGGTGGCCCATGCCTGTCATCCCAGCACTCTGAGAGGCTGAGGTGGGAGGATCACTAGAGTTCAGGAGTTCGAGACCAGCCTGGGCAACATAACAAGACCTCATTTCTACTACAGATAGAAAAAAAAAATCCAGCCAGGTTTGGAGGCATGTGCCTGTAGTCCCAGCTTCTCAGGAAGCTGAGGTGAAAGGGTTACTGAAGTCTGGGAGGTTGAGGCTGCAGTGAACTATTATTGTACCACTGCACTCCAGCCTAGGTGATAGAATACGACCCTGTCTTTATTTTATTTTATTTCATTTTGAGACGGAGTCTCATTCTGTCGCCGGCTGCAGTGCAGTGGTGCGATCTCAGCTCACTGCAACCTCTGCCTCCCGGCTCAAGTGATTCTCCTGCCGCGCCTCCTGAGTAGCTGGGACTGCAGGCGCTTGCCACAATGACCAGCTAATTTTTGTGTTTTTAGTGGAGACGGGGTTTCACCATATTATCCAGGATGGTCTCAATCTCCTGACCTCGTGATCTGCCTGCCTTGGCCTCCCAAAATGCTAGGATTACAGGTGTGAGCCACCACACCCAGCCGAGAGCCTGTCTTTAAAACACAAAACAAAACAAGGAAACAAAACCAGAACACTGTAGTGTTGTAACCATTTTCCTCATGAATCCTCATGATGGAAACAAAATTGACTCATTTTCACAAGCCCTTGACCTAGGAGAAACGATGTAGTGATGTAGCATATTTAACTCCTCTTTATCATCCCTAATAGTGACTTTTGCCAGGAGCCTGCTGTGTGCAGGCATAACTGCATCATCTCATGCAGTTCTCCCTCACCTGTGAGGAAGACTTTTCCTATCCAATGTGGTTTGTGAGGGAATGGAAGCTCAGGGAGGTGAACTGACTTGCCCCTGATCACACAAGCACAGAGCAGCCCGTTTCTGACCCAGCTCTCCCCTGACTGGCCCATAGGGCAGCACCCTCAAGCATCAGGCTGTGACAAACCTGGTCCTCATTGGACATCTTGATCTTTGGGGTTTTTTTAAAAAGCATGAATTTTGCCTTCTTAAAATACTACGTTTGTGGCTGGGTGCCGTGGCTCACGCCTGTAATCCTAGCACTTTGGGAGGGCGAGGCGGGTGGATCATGAGGTCAGGAGATCGAGACCATCCTGGCTAACATGGCAAAACTCCTTCT